TTTTGACAGAGAGAGACACAGCGAGAGAGGGAACACAAGCAGGGGGAGTGGGAGAGGGAGAAGCAGGCTTCCCGCCGAGCAGGGAGCCCGATGCGGGCCCTGGGATCATGACCTGAGCCGAAGGCAGACGCTTAACGACTGAGCCACCCAGGCGCCCCTAAATACAGACATTTTAAGAAGAAGCCACTTTATTGGGTAAAATGCCTTTCTGTGTGTAAAGCAGTACATCCATGACACAGAAATGAGGCGTGTGAGAACACATGGGAAGTAGCCACCCCCACGTGTCGGGAAGGTTTCTGGGAAGTGCTCGAGGAATGATTATATTTTAAATCCTCAGTCACGGCCCACAGGGCCCAGGAGAAGCCCTGGGTACCACTCCCACTTCTGATTCGCCAGAGCCACCTGTCGCCAGGGCACTGACCCCGCATTTAGAGTGGCTCAACCCTGCAGGCTTCTGGATTCTCTGGTGTTGAGCTGTTCCAGGATCCAATCCCCCAGCCTTTTCTGAGCAACCTCCAGAGAGAGAGGCTGCGAGGACAGGCCCCATCCTGCCTCCGTGGCTGAGCTCAGCAGTGAACGGCTATATTTTATGTCTGTGGGAACCCTCCACCCACCAGCCACCGGGCAGGTACTCTTCCCTCTCTGGGCAGGTGGGAACTTCAGGTGTGAGAGGGGGCAGCTTTAAAGGTCTCCTCACCCAGTGGCTGTGGGAGGCCACAGGGCCCTTTTCAGGGGACACCAGCTGTCCTTATAGGTGAGTAGCCTCGAGTCAAAGTGCAGGCTCACGTCCCAGCTTTGCCATCTACCATCTACGTGGCTCTGGGCGAGTGAGTGAACTCCAGAGCTCATTCCAGATGCTCATGCTGATCACTTACCCCGTAGGCTAGTTCTAAAGATGAAAAGTGGATGCATCCACAGCAAGCACTTGGCCTGAGGTAAGAGCTCAGCAAGCACTGGCTGGAACTGGATTCTGCGTGGAGCTGCAGAAGGGACCCTGAGGTGGCTCTGGCATGCGTGGAGCCAGCCGGTGTTGGGAAGGGCTTGGGCTCCCCTGTGGTGGGACCCAGCCCAAGCCTGGCCCGGTCCTACTGCTCATGGGGCCTGAGCTCCATCTCCTTAGCCTCAGCTTTCTCAGCTGCCAAATGGGGAGAAAGAAATGTCAGCCTCACCTAGGCACAGCATGAGCATGAGGGTCAAGTGAGCTACTGACTTGTAGAAAAAGCAGCAGCTCTTAGCTGTGCTCTTGTCCCAAGGGGAGGAGAAAGGGGCAGGAAAGGGTTGAAAGTGCTGCCTCACCAGAAGCTCGAGAATGAGACCATGCCCGGGGCATCCTCCCCCTTCCCTTCTCTTTTGCAGCCACTAATTTGGAACCAAACCTGCTTCTGAATGTCATGATTTGCTGAGATGAGTTCATGCCTTGTAAAGGCTTACAATCCTGGGGTAGTGGGGTGCTTGGGAGTAATCAACCACCCAGTGATCAAGCCAGAGGGCCCCAGCAGTCCTGGGGGCCCCCCGCCATCTGCTGGGGTGGGGCTGGTGTGCTCTGTTAATTTGACCAGGATTGACCCGCCCGCACCAAGAGCCCCACAGTCCCCCCACAAAGTCTGGCTGGCTTCTTCGCGTAGTAACCTCTGTCCCTGTTGGTTCCCAGGTACTTTGAATTTTACGAGGGCCCGTTTGAATATAACTCCACGAGATGCCTGGAGCTGAGGCACGAAATCTTGGAAGTGAAGGTGCTGTCCATGTGAGTGTGGCTGGGGTGGGTGGTGGGCACCTGGGATGGGGCAGGACCCCACAGAGTGAGAATGACAGGCAGGACCCGGGGGGTGGAGGGGGAGGCGGGTGGTAGGGGCACGGACCCCACAGAGCGAGAATGAGATCTCCTTCCCCCGGGCCTCCGGCATTTGGAGAGCAGGGATAATTGTGCATTCTATGAAAAAAAGGCCAAGTTTGCAAGGTCACCTCTGGTGACTCAGGGGATTCAGTCCCTGTCTCAATTACCAGCCTCCGAGACATCGTCCCTGGGCTCCTCCTGTATGGAAGCCAAAGAGAGCACGGGAGCATCTTACCTGAAATTCAGGACTCCGAGTGGAGGGTTAAGCAGTGCCCTCTTGCTATTGCCTTTTCAACATTTTATAGTCATTAGTTAAAAACTTTTTAATTATTTAAATGATGCAGCATTCAAGTGGTACAAAAAGGCGTATAGTGAAAATTCCCCTCACAGCCCCTCGGTCCTCCTCAGAGGCACCCCAGGTGTCCTTGTGCATCTCCCCAGGGAGTCTGCATCAACCAGCACCTGTGTACGGATATGCTTTATTTATTTATTTATTTTCACAAATCACAGAAGAACTGTACTTTCTGCTCCTCACTCAACAGTACTACACCTATGGCTCTTTTACAACCTATGGGAGAAAAAGCACATTACACGCTGCACATTTCAGTGAGTGGGAGCTTCCGCCAGCCTTCTCTCCCACATGGGGCCACCACGAATTCATCACCCGCTGAGAGGAACGTTGTTGTGCTCATCAGGGCATTTGGTTTCAAGTAAAATTCATATGTATTTGCAAACAGTCCTATCTGGACGTGGAAGGACTATAGTTTATTCAGACTCAGGTGGTGTTGGGGGCTCTTGTGGACTCATGGGCCCCCGACACAATGCTGGGATCACGGTCCGTGGCCCCCAGGCAGCAGCCGCTGAGCCTTTCGCCATTTGACACGATTCCCATGCAGTGTGGGTCATAGACGGAGCATGGGCCTGGGGGGCTGGCAGACCTGGGATCTTACCAGCTCTGCATCTTTATACAAATTACTTAACCTCTCTGAGCCTTTCCTTACCTATAAAAATTGGGACACTGTTACCTAGCTCTTACAGGTCACCACAAGACCAGTTGAAATAAGGTATGTGAGAGCAGATAGCCCTGCAGTCCACGCCCACAGTAGCACACATAATAGGTGCTCCGTCAGTGCTCATATGCCTCCCTCCCTTTTCTTCCCCTTCTGGACCCACCCCCAGGGGCAGTAGCTGCAGCAGGTTTTCGGGGCTGTCATTCAGAATCCAGAAGTTTAGTAGCTGCAGGGAAGCTCCCAGGACGCGTCCAGCTGGGGCTAGCTGCGTTATGGTCCCTGTACTAACCAAAGGGCTCTGTACCCTCTCTAGAGGTAAACGCGGGAGGCAGCTCACCCTCCCATCAACCCCACCCAGCCCTGCGCTGAGCGCACACCGTGCACCGTGGTCCCTGCCCTCGTGGAGCTCACAGCCCAGCAGGGAAGCAGACAGTAATACCTACTTACCCTAGGGACACAAGGGGATGGCAGGGAACTGGGCTTGGGCTGGGGCGGGGAGGGGGTTGTCAGGCAAAGCTTCTCTGAGGAAGGGATGCTGGCGCTCCTGTTGGAAGGGCGGTAAGGAGGGAAGTAGGCCAGGAAGGTTCCAAACTGAGGGAACAGTCTGTGCAAAGGCCCTGTGCCGGGAAGAAGCCTGCTGTGTCCCCGCTCTGAAGGGTCAGGGCAGCTTGCATGCCAGTGTGTGGGGGGTGGGGGGACACGGGAGCCATGTTGCTGAAGGGGCAGACGGGGGCCCGACCTGGTGAGGCCATGCAGTGCGAACCGGGATTCAGATTCTGTCACTGTCTGAGGGCCGCGGGAACCCGTGGGAAGACTTTAAGCAGGTGGCGGTGGCGCGTGTGTGATGTGATCGGTGAGGAGTTGGGATTTAGTGGCAAACGTGGCCATCCGGACCTCAGGCACGAGCCAAATTCATCAGCTCCTAAGCAGAGCTCCTTTGTCTTTTCTCGGAATTCAAAGACCTCGGGCCCTTAAATGTGCCATTCTGGAAAGCCAGGGCTTGTTAACAGCATGCCTTAGTGTCCTCAGAGGTAAATAAACTCGTTTTAAATTATAAAATGCAGATAGTTTCTTCATGGTCACCTCAGAGTCTAGACCCGAAGATCTGAGAGACCCCGGTGGGCCATCGTTCTCGGTGACTTCCCGTTCCTCTAGCCGCGCACTGCCTCTGTGTTCGAGTTAGCCCCTCTGTGAGCTGGCGAGAGCCGCCATAACCAAGCACCACAGGCCGGGCACTTTGGTAGATCCCACAGCTCCGGAGGCGGGCGGTCTGAGATCGAGGTGCCGACAGGGTTGGCTGAGGAGGCCTCTCTGCTTGGCTTGCCGATGGCCGCCTTCTCCCTCCGTCTTCACATGGACTTCCTTCTGTACCTCTGTCCTCGTTTCCTCTTCTAATAAGGACATCCGTCATACTGGATGCGGGCCCACCCTAATGGCCTCATTTCAGCTTAACCACCTCCTTAAAGACCTTGGCTCCGAAGAGTCACATTCTGAGATCTTAGAGGTTAGGATCGCAACATAGGAGTTTTGAGGGCGAGACGATTCAGCCCCTAACAGTCCCTATCCCAGCTTCCACCCGGGCCCTGCATCACAATGTTGTGGGTGGGGTGAGGAACCTCACCTTTCCCATGATCGGTGCCCACCTTTGTCCCTCGTCAGGGACGCATGTTTGGTGCTCTGCACGTTAGGCTTGAGCTCTCCTCTCTGCCTTGAGGCATCCACTCTGGTCTCCTGAGCTGAGCAGCTGTCCCAGCTGGTGACCCCTGGGCCTTGCGCCACCCTGTGTCCTTCACCTCCACGAGGTCCCCAGACCCTGGGAGTCTGGGCCCTGGTGGCCCTGGGGCTGTGAGAGGAGAGGAAAGGCTGAGGCTCTTTGCGGGGCACGGGCATGAGGCTGACGTCTCCTTTCCTGGGCCCGCAAGCTGAAGCTCGGTGGGACCTCCAGGGCTGACATCAGAGATCCCGGAGGCCGGCCTCGGACTCGAATGGTCCTAGCATCATCCGGGTACCTGCGGACCTCATTGTGCTCTGGCCCAGGGCCATGAGCGCTGCTCCCAGTGGAGACTCTGAGTCATGGGGAAAGGTTAAGTTGCCATCTGTGTGTGGAGGGGGCTGCGCGGCTGGGCTGTGAGGCCCTTAAGGCGTAAGAATGTCAGCCTGCATTCTGAGGAGACAGGGAGGGGTGTGATTCATCTGGGAATGATTCTGATCCAAAATTGCTGCAAACACTGGTAGAAACCAGTTAGTCGGAAAATTCCCACATGGAGAAGACCTTGGTCCCTGACGATGGCAGACGCAGGAGGAGTTACTCTGTGCTGATTTATTATGAAAGGCATCATCACTAATACTTGTACAAATTATTTATTTGAAGGTAGTCATTCTCGAGTCTCTTGGTTTTGGAGCCAGTTCCTGCCACCAGGTGGGGGTGGTGTCTGGGACGTCACCCTGGGGCCTCTCCTGCAGCCCCTTCCCCATCTTTCTGGGGTAGGGAGGCCTGTGCTGCACCCAGGAACAGAGGCTGGGAGGCCCCTTCGTGCCCAGGCGTCTCTGAACCCCCGAGTGTGAGCCTGCATGGTCTCAGGACGTGGGCAGGGCACATATAGGAGAGCTGGGTGGAAACAGAGGAGGCCAGCGGAGGAACGGGGGAGAAAGAACAGAGATGGTCACGATCACCTCCTTATCCTCACCATCTGTTGCCATGGCAGGAAAAATCAAGTAGGATCGAGAAGCTGGTAATAATAAAAAGCCACAGTCCCCTGCCCCACACCTTCGCCCTGCAGCCTGCTCCTTTGGACTCTGGCTGTTTCTTCCGGTCATTACCTCCACACCTCTCAGTAACACGCACCTGCTGTTATTTCTCAACTTACTGCCGCGTGCACTGACGTCCTGCCTTGGTGGGTGAGGATTCAGCCCCCTTATGCCACCCCCACCCCCTCCCCACTCTTCTGGGTTGGGGGATAGTGCTGTTTTTAGGTCTTCTGTCTATAGATTGCCTGAGTAACTTATTTCTGGTTCTACCAAATACTGGCAGTATCTCTTGAGCCTGTACTTTGTAAGATGGGGCTATTAAAATCATCCCTATGTTTTGGTTCCAGTCGTCCGTGTATTTACCTTTAAAAGGTCATTCTGTTGGTACCCATAACAAGCCTTTTTTGGGGGTTTCCTCTCTAGGTTGACTCTAAAATTTAAAGAACAGAAAATAGTGATTCTCCTTCCTTTCTTGTACATCCTCCCCCTCCCCTTTTTTTTCCTGGAGCTTCTACTCATCTTTTCCCTCTTGAACTCTTTGTCTCTATTATGCCCTATTTCGGGTTTCTGCTTGCCTCTCCAACCAGCCTTCCCCTCAGAGTTTCTCTTTATCCTTGTGCTCCAGTGTGGACAGCCTGCTCTCTTGCTGGGCCAGACGCCAATGTCCTGGGAACTTCCCTTCCCTGCCTCCTTTGCTTGGATTCAGTTTTGTGGAGAACCCATAGCTACTTCTTGTTTACGCCTTCATTTTGCTTCTACCCATCTTCCAGTCATTTCCAAATGATTGGTAGGAGGTCAGGTTTTGAGTTCTATGTCTAAATGACTTAATTCTTCCCTTATACCTGATTGTTGGTTTGGTGGGGTTGGAATTTTAGGAGAAAATCATTTCCCCCCCGAACGCGCTGAAGACTTCCCCCATCGCCTTCTAGTGTCCAGGGCGATGGGAGCATGATGCCATCTGCTTCTTTGGAGGCGACCTGTTTTCTTCTCTCTGGAGTGTTTCCGGATCCTGTGGTTCTGAAATGTCTGGATGATATGCTTCAGGATAGACGGCTGTTGGACCTCTTCATCCGGGGCTCATGTCCAAACTCTTGAACGTTCTTTTGGATTTTTAAAATATTGCCTAGGGCGCCTGGGTGGCTCAGTTGTTAAGCATCTGCCTTCGGCTCAGGTCATGATCCCAGGGTCCTGGGATCGAGCGCCTCATCAGGCTCCCTGCTCCGCGGGAAGCCTGCTTCTCCCTCTCCC